TTGGTGTTTTAAATGATCCTTATCGATCTTATCCATGAAATCTAGATTCCTTTTGTAGTTGACAGTAATCTCTCTGTGACTACTGGCTATAATACTGTTCATGTGGTAGTAAAGGGCCTGGAGTGCATCCATGCCACAACAGTAAACAGTAAAATCTAAAAATCTATTGTAAAATGAATAAGCAAACAATTAATGATAATGAGATGCTATGACAGGGATAATGTTTTTGTTTCAGTTGTTGCATTTGGTTTAGGTTTTGGGAGACTCTTGAAATTCAATGGCCTTTTTCACAGCAGCCATTTTGCCTTATGATAGCAGGCAAAGCACAGGTGTTACAAATAACATACACAATGGCTCTGTTCTATTCAAGTGTCCCAGTCAGCCATGACAGTGTGTCAGTCACACGGTGAGTCAGCATGAAAATCACAAGGACCCTGAAATTGAAGTAGCTAAATGATTTCAACCATCATTCTTTTCTTTATTTACACCTGTGCTTTTTGTACTTTGATATGACAAAGTGTTTTCTGTGAGAAGCACAAACGACTGAGAACATGGGAAATGTAACAAACTTAGTTAGGAATCAGAAGCCATCCAGAAAAATGTTAGAACATGAGTGATGAAACTCAAACATTTGGGTATTTTAACAGCAAATATCTCACTGTAATAGGAGTTAAGAGAATTTTGCAGTGTGCTAATTTGTGCTCCACTGATTTAATCTAAACATACAATAAACTAATGAAAATCAAAGTTACAGCAACACAGCCTTTTCATTAAAGTTTGCATTCATTTTGCTTTTTGGCTGAGATTTTAACTTTCAGTTTGCTGGATTAAAAATGAAAGAAACAAACCCAGGGGGTGTCAAAGTGGCTCAGCTGACTAAGCACAACACAAAACTGCAATGTTCTCACTTCAAATCAAACATTTCTCATGTCAGCTCCCCGGCTCTTTATCCTGTCACTTTTCACTGTAACGCTGGAATGACATGAGTGCACAAACCATTGAAACACATGTTCCCATTTACAGACAGTAATTATCTAATAACTGTCTGTACTTAACAGGAACTCAAATTCTTTTATTTGATGGCAGTGAATAAGAGAGATATTTGTGATCTGTGATGATTACTGATGAATTGCACTGCATTGATTTTTTTCCTTGTTTCACGCTGAGAACAACTGGGTTGGGCTGTCCCCTGACAGATTAGTAGAGACAGTGGAGAGAGGAGGAAAAGGAGAGAAACATCCAAAACAGGAGGGCAGAGAAGAAAGATGCAAGAGAGGACTATAGCAGAGAAACACTGTGTGAAAAGGGGACAAGATAAAAGGGGGGAAAAAATAGTGTGAGGGTTTTTAGAAGAAGAGAAATGCAGGCGAGTGTTAAAGTACAACCGGAGAAGGGTGAGTAGGTGAGAAGTTGAATGCTGAGTAACAAGGGAGGAGACGAGTCAGGAAGAAAGGATGTGAAACTCAACAACAAAATTGAATTGATGCCCAGTGGAGGAGAAGGGAGACAGATCTAATCTGATAATGACAGAGAAGCAGGAGAAGAAGGAAAGACAGAAAGAAAAAAGAAAGAAAAAGAGAAGCACGCTGATGGTGGTAAACAAAAACTACTGTGAGATAAAAGACATGAGGGGAGAGAGAAATGGAGATCAGTGAAAGCGGGAGAGGGAGAGAGAGGTGGTATAAATGTCAGCTAAACTCGATAACATCGTTCTGATCTGCGGCGACTCTGCCTCTTCGACCTTCTGTACAAATGTAGCCTATATATACGCGCACGAATGTGTGTGTGTGTATGTGTGTTTTGTGTGTGTACATGCGTGTAATATCCTGTTACATGCTGGGCAAAATGCTCCAGCAGAGTGTGTCATAATCTGAGAATGAGATCTTTATTGAACAATGCCTTTCATTTCGCACGACATTACTTTTCATGAGTGTGTGTTTGTGTGTGTGTGGGTGAAGCATCCACCAATAAAAACCAGAGACAAACTGGCATTTGTTATGCTGAACGTGTATATATAGGCAAATAGGGTTGGCGCCGGCAGGCAGGTAGTGAATAATAAAATTAACATGCATGTAACGAAACATGTATGGTTTCAGGTGTAGCCTACATACATGAAAGCTCTTTGCATGCATGCACAGAACTATGTGTAAGAGTTTAAGATGCTGCACACGGTCACTGCGCTCAGCTGTTATGGCGTCTAACTGCCCCTACAACCACAAACTGTTATTTTTTACATTTCTGTTTATCTACACTGTGTTAATTAGTTACCTTTAGAGTTGTTGGTTGATGTAATTTTGAATTTGGACAGAGCCAGGCTAGCTGTTTACTGTTGCTTTCAGTCTTCTTGCTAAGCTAGGCTAAACACGTCCTGACTCCAGCTTCACACAATCAATATTTCATTAACTTTACTGTTTTGGTTCACTCTCACCTCATCAGCAATGTTTTCAGCTGCAGCAGGCAGCTGTTTATAGTGATAAAAGCTGCCCAGCACCAAACAGCAGACAGATACAGTTAGCCACTAGCTGGTGAACATAATGGAGTTTAGCTGCTATTGTCCATAGTAACATTGTGCACCTCAGGTTAATTGTTAATTATGGAAAGTTTCCAATATTAAAAGAAAAGAGTACTTGGGCAAAACGAACAAGCAGTCACATGATTAAACAGGTTTAACCCAATCCCCAGATCAGCTAAACTTATTTGGAAGAGAAAAAGAGAGGGAACTCTAAATTATTAAACTTGCAGTTTGTCAAACTTACTTTAGTTGTGTGGACACAGTTTTTCTGTGCAATGAGGACTTATTACCATCAATTCAAAAGTGCCCATTTGGTCTTACCTCCTACTAAACTGGTTTAGATTATCTGGGTGAACTGTCGGCTTTTTAAAACCTGTCGGACCATCTGATCACAATGTACAATGTGCAATGTTATAGCAGAAATGATGGCCAAAACAATGAAAATGAGACTGATGCTGTAATACACCAGAATTATCCTTTAAAGCGGTAAGCTGCTGTAGTGTAAAAATTCAAATAAATTATCACCATCCTCACTCACGTTATTATCAAAGGGATTTTGGGTTAAATCCCAAATTCACCTCCCTCACCCTGCTGCGATTCCCACCCATACCTTCACTGCACCCTCCCCAAACTCCTAACTTCATTTAATCAAAAGGAATTATTTCTCAAAGAGATTAACAAAAGACCATTTTATCTCTCTCTCTCTCTCTGTCGGCCTTACAGTAGCTACTCTCAATCTCTTCTTCTCCTGTCGGTATTAGTGTGCCTGTCACGTGCAGCAGCCACAGTGTGTGTGGGTGGATGACTGACTCCGTATGTGAATGTGACATCAAACTTGTGAGCAGAAACGAGGGTTCTTTTATCAATGAATGCTTAACCATATATCCAAACACATACGTGCGACTCATATGCAAGCATTGAGTCGGCTCCCTTTCCTCCCGTCTCTTAATACACAGTGGCTGCCTATTACAGAGTGATTACCAGTCTATCAGTCCCTGTGTATGACAGTGAATAAGCAATGACCATCTAGTTATTGATCCACAGAAGGAGAGTCTGAACCTCAGAGCAGTATGCATCAGAATCCCCATCACAGACCCGCAGGAACTTTAATAGACATTTCCAGCGACATCCAAGCTGTGATGTAATGAAAAAAAAAAAAAGAAAAAAAGTCACAGCTTCAACCTAATATGTTGTTAGATGGATGAGTGCGGCTCTGTGGTTTAGCTGTTGGGAGTAATAGCTGGTGTGGGGGCACTCATCGGGACTGATTCCCGCAAGGCTCCCATAAATAGTCAATGTGCATCGATTGCAAATGGCTTCCAATGAAAACCCCGGCTAAATGACCATGGTACCATTATATTAGTGAAATGACAAACAGCAAAACAGATATCATGAAGCACGAAAGCATTTCTGATTGATTGTTTCAGCCTCACAAGAGGTTGGGTCTGTGTATGTTTACGTGCCTTGTGTGTGTGAGCGTTTGCATGTTTATGTATGTTCTCTGTGCATCTATTGAATGACAGGATTGTTATTGAGTGTGTATTTAACATTCAGTGCGTATCTACTGGATGCAAAGCCATGCTGACTCTTTCGTTGATCCCACTAAGACTCTCATTAATGTCATTAATTGGCGGGAGCCGACACACACCTGGGTCCCCTGATCTATCTCCAGACCCTGAGGGACGACTACATCATGTGTACACTATGGACGGAGCTTAGATGTGCTTTTGTTTATATTTAAAGAAAAACACTCCTTAACAAAAGGCATTAAAGTTCTGCTACTGCTACACACGATGACGTCAGCATGAACAGCTGTTTACTTATCTGTCTAGAAGAAACGTTACGAGTTCAGCATCAAACTCTTGCTTTGTTTCTATTTCAATCACTTCTTCTACTGAGGTTAGCATGCTAACTGTCTCGTCAATTTCTGAAACCCAGCCAACGATGGATGAAGCTCTTGGCAAGACTGGTAGGTAAATAGCTGTTAATGCTATTGTTAGCCATGTAGCAATGGCAAAACTTACAAATAGATCCTTTAAAAGATTGGTGGCTATTTTGGGGAATGCTCTATCTTGCCAAGAGTGAGATAAGAAGATCAATACCATAACTATTTGTAAAACCATAAATTCTTGTTTTGACACTTTTATACTTTTGATTGTTTTATACTATAACTTTTTCTACAGATTAAACAAAAGAGATATAATATCTTTATAATGGTTTAGGTGGTTTCAGGTGCTAGTAGATGGATTTTGTTACCTTTGGGCATGGCAAGGTTATCGGTTTTCCTCTTCTTCCAGTCTTCAAGACAAGCTGAGCTAATCGTCTACCAGCTCTAGCTCCATACTTCAAGCACAGACATTAGAGTGGTATTGATCCTCTTCTCAGTAAAGCTAAACTACCAAAGCTTCCAAAATATCACACACCTGCTTGTGATTTACTTTGTGTCCATATATATAATGGAGGGTGGAGGCATGTGTTTGTATTTTACCTGAACCTCCCGTGCATGGTAGGCTATGATGAGGCCCAGCAATATGACTGTGGACAGGCTGATCAGACACTTCAGGGCCAGAGAATACATGGAGCTCTGTAGAGAGAAAATGGACACACACTCCATTAGAATCATTCAGCACCAACATAAAACATATTTCAGATTGACTCTGCCTTGGTGATTAGTTTAATATTCAGAGGAAAGTGATGAAAAACACTTAGACAAGATAACACAATCTTAAAAAGGTCTTGATTGTCAAGATTAAAAGTCTGGTTTAACTTGTCAGATGTCCCAGATGTCACACAATGTCCTTTGTCCCTCCGCTGAAATGCCATGTGCACCGTGGCGGCACTGCCTCAGCATAAACAATAAGAACTAACATTTACAAAACAGACTTTCAAAGGCTGAACAGAAGTCAAATAGTAGTATGCCACCCGTCTGCAGTCAAGCTTTAAAACCTCTGCTTGTCTGGTTTCATAGGGTTTATAATCAATGCACTGGGGAACTTCCGATCAATACAACTCATAGCACTTGAATGGCTTCTTTAACCCCCTCACCTCACACGCAGAGTACAGCAATGCTTACTGGAGTAACCATACATGTGAACACACATACGTACAATCACATTTGTATATTAGCACATCTACACAACTGCACACATCTGATGTACATTAATCTACACCAGCGGTTCCCAACCAAATCATGGCCCATTTGAAAATCTCAAAAATGTTAGCGGCCTACATCTGACCTCATAACAATGCGGAGGCCGAATAATGCTTTCTCAGAGCATTTTATTTTATTATTTTATTTATTATTTTAATGATAATGACGGAACATTCAGGACTGTACTGAAAGCAGGGGAAAAGTAGGAAGCTCAATTTTTCTTTTTTCTTTGACATTATTTATTTATTTATTTTTATGAATACATTTTTTCACCAGAATTGTACTGTTGTGCAAATGATTTGTTGGCCCACTTGCAATACATTCGCAGCCCACCAGTGGGTCAAGGCCCACAGGATGGGAACAACTAATCTACACAAATGCAGATGGAATATCAAAAGTGAAAAGTGTGTTTTGATTGATTGTTTTGCTCTCAAGTGATCCATTTCAGAAAGTAAAAAGGAGTCTGAGTTAAAGAAAAACAGAGTAAATAAGAACAATTCTTGTGATCAAATATCATGCAGAGTACTTGAACTATCCCACAGCCAAGATATATTTATTTCTGTTTGGCTGACAGATGTCCATTAAAATTCAACATTAGGACAACTCATTTGTGGCTCTGGTTAACAGTTTAATCACCATTTTAAATCAGCGCACAGGGTATGTTAAACTGCAGGTAACTATAGCAACAACACACACAGGCAGGTTACTCTCACTGGAGAAACTTGCCTAACCATGGGTGAAACTCAACACAGAAGCAGCAGTCATAAAACTCCAAATATAGGGAAACAGAATTACAACATTAAGTTAATAAAGTATCGAAACGATAATAATAGGTAACCAATTGCAATTAATCAATTGATGTGGTTAATATATAATCAGTCATCAGGGTCACAGTATTAGACTATGTTACGAAATTTTTCAGGTGTCAAACGTCAACAGATCCTGCACATAACATTAAAGGATAAAGCCGGTGTTGTTGTTTAGTTTGCTTATTGTCAACAAATTCAAAGAATAAATTTGATGAGGACTATTTTATGAATTATTATGTATTTGGTGCTCTGGTAAATATTTGCAGTTGGATGGAGGTATGAGGGAAGCCAGTGAAACGGTGTGGCTCATTAATGTGTTTTTAACAGTTTTTGGATGGATAATGGAGCTCTGTCACACAGAGGAAGCGGCTATATCAGGATCTGGCCAAACGGGTAATGCTTGGTAGTAGGATCAATTCATTGTTAGTTTTGTTCTTTTCAGTGGATGTGTTGACAAAAACAAAACTTCTACACTTATCCTTTATATTTTGAGGAAAAGAGAGGAGAAAGAACCAATAAAAACTTGTAGGTTTCAGAATGAGGTATTTCTTTCTGTGTCCTGTATATTCCAATCTATAAACAATGAGAGGCATGAATAAGCATTAGACAGCTATTGGCTGTCTAACGCCAATAGCTGTCAGAGTTCACCAGGTTTCATTCATTACATTTTTAACAGAGTATTTTAGTGTCACTATTCTGTTTAAAAAACTCGTAAAACCTTGGAAAAAAAAAAAAATTCTGTTTACAGATGCAAAATGTCAGGAATCGGTAGTCAAACAAAATATTTCATTTGATTCATTTTCTAAGCCTTAGAAATACAACTAGCTGTGTTCAGTGCTTTGGTTTCTGAAAGCCACACTTGCTAAATTCATTCATTTGTCTACATCAGCTCAAGGACTCTGGAATTGCAGAATATATTGCAAACACACACACACACACACACCCACACACACACACACACACAAACACACACACACATACACAAAAGAAAAGAAAAGAAAAAAAAAAAAACGAGGAGCATTCATTTTCAGGATCACCAAGGTCACATATGAACACAACAGCCTGCTGTCCTCTCCACAAGAGTTGAGCCAGCTTAAGACTGCAGCATCTCAAGTCAGATATTTCAGCTGTTAAGTAGGATGCTGTTAAGAATTCATTGCCAAACACTCTCTTGTTCTGAGTGTGCACTCTGAGTTTAGGCATGTATTACTCAGCCTTTCTTTCATGACGTTATTAAGCAGAAGCTACATTACATTTTGGGTTCATGAATATATATTGCAAGTCAGCCTCGTGGAAAATAGAGTGTGTTAGTGTGTTATTGTGTCTATTTAGGGTCTCTGTAGATGCCTTAATGTTGTTAATTCAACATCACACAAACACTCAGAAACACACACGCAGTCAAGTTTGTTAATCCTCACTTGCACATTTCTCTGTTGAGTATGCATTTTCCCCATAATTATCAAAATAGACAAAGATTCAATATGAGACTGAGTGCCCTTTCTACCATTTATATAACACACACAATTGCACACACATACAGACAAACTCATACACGGAGAGCATTAAGTGAGTGTTGTTCATTTGTTGCTCATATCAGTGTGGTTATGGGCCACTGCACAACACTGAGAAAATACCATCTAGCTTTGACTCTCCACTGATTTTCTCTATCAGCTTGCCCAAAGCTCTCGCTGTCTTTTGGTCTTTATTTGCTTGCGCTCTCTCTTCCTGTCTTGGTCCTCCTCTCCTCTGCTAACATCTCGTTTCACTGAAGCAAACTAGGTGCACATAGGGGTGAATGATTAATTGCATTTGCGATAATATCGCAATATGATAAAACAAGATTTTCTAACTGCAAAGGCTGCGATTACACTGGTCATGTGACATGCAAGCGAGAGTAGAGCAGTCGGCTAAAAGGGATCAAAAACTTGGCCCACTACACTTTGACCTGTTGTACAATGGCCTCAGGCTCGACAGAACCTGGCACTGCGGAAACTTTAGTGTCAAAGAGGAGCATTACGTCGGTTGTGTGGCTTTAAAAAAGAAGATTCTGCACAACGTCAGGTATTGTGCAGAACCTGCCTTGCTACCATCGCTACCTCACAGGGCAACTCTACTAACCTGTATCAGCATTTAAAAAAACACCCTCAAAGCCATGTACGATAGTTGCATGGCTAAAATGCCGACCACCAGTGTGTCAGGTAAGCCAAATACCACCCGACAAGGGTCACTGACCGAAATGTTTGAAAGCATAACTCCATATGAACGTAATTCAAAACGGCATGGGGAGATTACTCAGGCAACAACAGAGTTCATAGGGAAAGGTATGATGCCTCTCCAAGCCTGGGTTTACGACTTTGATAAATACACTGGATAAGCGGAACAGCATGCCCTCCCGCACATATTTTAGCCAGGTTGTCATACCGGAGCTACATAAAAAATACAAGCAGAGTTTCGCAGCGGAGCTGAAAACAACAGAGTTTTTCGCTACTACAACTGACATGTGGTCGAGCCGTACAGCGGAGCCCTATCAGAGTCTTACAGTGCATTTCATTAATGAAGACTTCGACCTAAAAGCTCGCTGCTTTCAAACTGCCTACTTCCCTGACGACCACACGGGGGGAAACATTGCAGCTGGCTGAAGGGAGGGGGCTTGCAAGCTAGGATCTCCATGAAGAGAACCATGTCTGCATGACGACTGACAATTTTACATGCTTACAAGCCGGTAAGTGAAACAAATCAGTCAATATACTACTGTGATTGAAGTAGTTATATAAAAATATGTCAGTCATATCAATTCATGCATCATCTAATTTCATCATGACATATAGGCCTGGCCTACAGGAAAGAACAGTTTATGTTTAATCTATCTAATATTGTGTTAGTCATAATAAAGAATGATTTGTTGCTTGTGTTTGTTGAATAATACAGAAGATAAGGGACTTATCTAAAAAATAATATTGGTTAAAAAAAATCGCAAAATCGCAATTAGATTACTTTCCTGAATCGTTCAGCCCTAGGTGCACAAGAAGCCAACAATGATGTGCTAATTAGAGAATTGCAGACTTGGGTTTGAGCAGCGAATCAGTCTAAATACACAGTCACACTTAAGAGCTGAAATGTGATTTGCTCCGAGTTGACTTCCTCTCACTCTCTACCCTCTCACCTCGCTCACTGTGTTTACCTTCAGCCGTCTGTTGGCCGTTCAGTTTTTTTTTTCCCTTCAGTTCTGCCCATTACATTGTCAAGAGCATTTTGTTTCTGCCTCTTTCCACTTCACTAACTCTACCTTCATATCAAATGACTCGACTGTGACGGTGATGTGTGTGTACATGCTTGCCGTCTGTTCATTTCAGTTTTTTTTTTTTTCAACTGACAATCCTCAGTGCTGATTGGCTGGCAGAGGTCCATTAACTTCTAAGATTGGGACACCTGTGCTGCAGGTGTTTGCTGTTCTAAATTAATGTACCAGTATTAAACTTTAGACAAAAACAGCAACAGTGACATTTGTTCGTACTTCAACCGCTACAATCAGTGGCACTAAACAAGATAGCAACCTCCTGACAGCAAGAAGAAGAGCTCCTTTGTTTGCTGTATTTAGCTGAACAAATAGAAAACAAGTCATCT